AGGACTCGTTGAAGGGAGGCAATGAGAGCTCCAACAACTTACAGCTTCTGCACTCCCCAACTTTCTCCCTCTCCAAAATGCCAAGGATCATGGTTAGAACTGAAATGAGATTTCTTGAACACCAGAGCTATCCATAAACTGACTTACAGCCTTCCTTCATAGTTACATTACTTTTTCCATGGAAAAAAAAAAAAAATTCAGTAGACTCCTGTAATCTAAGTACAAAAGTGCTAATGAAACAGTGTTTCTGGTGTTGTGGTAGTAATACAGATGATGGAAGGAATTAGCATCTGCAATAACGCCACACGGAACATGGCTCAAAAATAGTTTTTCCAAAGCTTTAATTTCAAAGCGGACATTGAACACCTCCCTCATTGCATTAGCCCTCTGGCATTTGTACACAGCTTCTTCTATACATCTTGGTCACAACAGATGAAGGTGGACAGGGCACTTCCTAAGTGCATTACAGTAATCTAATTAAGCTTGTCAGACCCGTTCTGTACAGCTAAAAGTCTCAAAAGTGAACCTTTTATTTCAGTACAGAGAAGACAAGCCACAGAACTCTGACTACAGAAGCAATTAAAGAATATAATTCAATTCAGATATTTCCAACTGTACGTCTAAGCCAACCAAACAGGGATCATACAGTGATGATATAAATGTAAACACTGTAAAACACACTATTCAACTGAAATATATATATCTGAAATTAAGTGATTTTCATCTGTACAGGAAAAGGCAGCATTAGGAGTACAACTATGGACAGAGAATAGACTTTTTTGTTCAGTCCATCCCTATCTGTTCATAACACCATATGGCAAATACCACAGTATTTGTTTAACAGAAGGAACAGACACACCTGACCTATAAACCCTGATATTTTCAAAGCTTCAGCCAATATCTTTAATTAAGAAAACCAAAAGCAGTCTATCAAAAGTAAAGAAAATGAAAATATTGTCTATTAAATCCTGACCAGAAGAAAGGAGCCTGATACATTAAAACATACTGTAATTCACTGAGAAGAACGATTTTTTCCCGTTAAAGATATTATCATCAGCAACAACAGCTCTAGACAAAGTTCCTCCTTTCCACTCACCTTGCTCTCTACTTGTATCACAAAACAGCAGCTTCAACCACTACCAACACTTTCCACTTTCTTTTTCAACTGCTCAGACAAAACACAATAAAAAAAATAAAAATTAAAGAAAATTAAAACTCTAATGTGAAATGTTCCCATACTGTACATGGATACAGAGTGGCACTGAAACAGGTCAGTGTGACTTTGCTTTAAATCATTTTGCGATTGATGACAGAATGCAAATTATCTCCACATCAACAAACCGATCTTTGTGTTCCTGACTCCAGCAGGAGTTGTCCCCTTCCCCCTTCTTTTGTTAGGAGACAAATAATAGAAGGAATGGAGTTATTCTTAGCAAACTCTGTTTTTAACTCAGATATATTTATAAATCCAAAATACAGTCCCTGGAATAGCAGGGCTCTCCTGAAGTCCCATTCAGGAGATACCTGTAAGAAGTTACTAGCATTTTTCACTGAACAGCTGTTTGTCTGCATGCACTTCTGAACTGCGCAATACAAACTTACATTCATATTCATACACATTTGGTGACAAAATGCTTTAAAAAGAGAAGAAAAAAAGTAGTTTGAATAGAGGTTCCAGACACGGGTCCCATTGGGCAAGGCACGTTATCAATACACAACATAATGCAAATTGCAAAGACTTCATGATACAATTACACGCACACAGGGAACACACAGGAACTCACAAAAACATGACAAGACGACCAGCAAGTTGTTTACAGATTAAGTTTGCAATTGGAAAAGCCCCTTTAATGGGACTAACGTCATCTTAATCTACATCACCCCCATTACTCACTCCTACTCCAACACAGCCCCTTACTCATGCAACCTTTCTTGGCCTCATAGAAAGACTGTGAAACACAAGGGCAGGGGGGAGACAACCCACAGGAAAAGGAAAGAGCATCTTCATCCAGGAGGGCGCTGGCCCACACTCAGCACCCAACCACAACAACAGGAGCAGCACTGACAAAGGATAGGAGAAACGCTGTGAAACTGCAACAGGAGGCAGAGGTGGGATCAGGGATCAGGTGAGGGGAGACAGCAGCCATCGCGCTGACAGTGGTGACGCGGCCCTGGCGCAGGGGAGGGGGCAATCCAAATACCACTGCTCCTGGCAAATACGGTGACTCACTGTGCTTATTTGCTGCCACCTGAATTCAGCCTCCTTGTGACATCTGTACTACTCTGCGACGGCACCCAGCATGCTCAGGGCTGGCAGGCTGCGCAAGGGGCAGTCACAGAGGTCAGCTGCGTGCCAGCTGATGTCAGAGGACTCTGATCCTGCCATCCTCATACAGCACCAAGGTAACAAACCAGCCTCTGTGCACACCTGTGCTGCTCTAAATTTAGCGCTCTTCTCCCACTGTTCCATTCATTACCTTCTAGTTACAATGCATATAGGTCTTCTTTACTCAACATCTTAAGTAAAGAAATATTTCGTGTAACCATCAAAAGCAAACAGAGTGTAAGTAGAGAGAGATACACCAAGGGGAAAAAAAAAATGAAAACGTAACAAGCACACAGAGAGCATTTTACTACGTTATAGGAGGAAAGAAAAACACTGCTCAGCATTTCCTGTTCAATATTCAGCATCAGACACAGAAACCAAAGACATTAAAAAAATACCCAAGCTGCTCTGGTTTCTATCATCAGGATTAACTCACACTTACTATCAGTTCAAACAAATACTATTTCTTCTGGGATTTCACTTAATATCAGAAGGACAGAAAAATTTTTATCTGCCATATCACCTGAAACTGTACAAACTTCTGGCAAATCACACACATGAAAACAGGCTCTAGAAAAATCAGACTGCACTGCATGTCCCTTTAGCTTTCATTTTCTTCCCTTTAAAAGGAGCTACATTGAAAGAGTAAAACCAGGTATACAGAATGTATTGTCAATGTTTTTGTTCAAATATTTCAATAGGACAATAGGAAAAAGTTTAGTTTTCACCCTTTAGGCTGCATTTGCTTCCTGCAGCTGCAGCACATGGCCCACATACTGAGGGAAGCAACGGGTCCAGTATTGATATGTGGAGCTACCAACCAAGTTCGCAATTGTATTTAAGGTAATTTTAACTGAGCAGGAAACTCCTAAGACTAAACCTGAGAACAAACTTCTGTGTTCTTCTTCCTGATACACTTTTTTTTTTTTTTTTTTTTTTTTTTTTTTAAATTGGCATTGCTTCTCTTTTGAGTCTCCCAGCATTTGGCTCCCTCCTTAATACTCAGAGCTGCTTTTGGAAGCATCAACAAATGGCAGCAGAAGAAAAGGCAAGCAGAGGTCTGCCAGTTCTCAAACTTTGCATGGAGTTTGGCATGGGGGAGAGAGACTGAAGCGCACCTGTGTGTCACCCACTGTGACCCCAGGAAAGAAAACCAGGGCAAAAGCAGTTGAGAGAGACAGAGCTCTTTCTGGCAGCACACGGTCTGGGAAGCAGCTTAATGCTTCCGACATCCTTCCCACCCTGCAGCAGCCGTGGGAGACCCGCATAGGCACTGCTGTGCTACAGCTCAGGCTCAGCAGCCAGCAGAGATAAGCGAAGGTTTAAATGAGGAGTAAGAGCAAAAGTACAAGGTAGCGAGTTAAAAAAAAAAAAAAAAAAAAAAAAAAAATAAAGTGTCACAGTTTTCCGGTTTATTGCGGCAGGGAGAAACAATGCCAGGAAGGGCACGGCACAGTCAGCAAAGGCAGCAGAGTCACGTCAGGATACCAGATACAGGATACCTGGTTAGTTCTTTCGGCAGCGTGCAATTAGCTGATAGACATTTCATAATATTCAGAGCTCTGTAACTAGTCAAATCCTACGCGGCGTGTATTTTCCTCGCCTAACGCCGCGGCGTCTCTCCCAGCACATTCCATGAATATCGCTTCCTGCAGCACAACCTGCCTCCCGCCGCTCCTACACAGTACTTAGCAGAAAGTTGACTGACGCGCTGCAAGGAAGGCTGCGCTACTTCCCGCGCCAGCGACAGAGCTGCCGACAAGGAAGACTCTCGGCCCGAGCCCGGCCCAGTTTTCCCAGCCCTGTGCTACCGCCGTGAGACGCGCACCGCTCCCACGCGGCCCCCCACGGTCGGGCTGTGCCTGCAGCCCCGCGCTGCTGAAACCGCCCAAACCTCCGCACGGGGCGGCTCTCAAACAGAGCGCGACGTCTGGATGAGAAACGGGCAAGGGAGAAAGTTCCCGATCTGTTCCCACAGCGTGAGACAACTTCTCTCCATTTGCCACACGCTCAAAGCGACAGGTCGGAGCCGACCTGCAGCTCTCTGCTCGCAGAGCATCCTCCGGCACTTAATGGGGTTTCACCCCGCCGCTCGCCCAGCGCCGTCCCGCACACAGCTCGGGCCGGACCGGCTGGCAGAGGGAAAGGAGGCGGCGGCGCCCACAGGACGCCCAACCCGCCCGACGGCCCCTGGCGAGACAGCACCCTGTAGCGCTGCCTTCGAAGAACTCCACCACGTGTGCCACGCCTCTCCCCGCTGCCGCCGGCACCTGCAGCCCTCCGCGACTACTCTTCGTTCCGGGGACTGCGAAAAGGCGCTTCTGTTAAGAAAGCCCGCAACGCCCCGGCATTCCGCGCCTCCTCGCCGGAGGGACGGTTCCTCCGGGCGGGGCTCGGAGGAGAACGATGGGGAGCGGTGCGCGGCCAGGGGACGGGCACCGCGGGGGGCGGCGCGGTGGCAGCGGGCACCGCGAGGGAGCCGCGCGGTGAGAGGAAGCGGAGCTCGGAGGCTTGGAGCGGCCACAGAGCAATGACGGGGACAGGGGAGAGGCAAGGGTCGCGGGAGCCACCCGAGGATCCGTCTCGTCCCCAGCGCGGAACCCGGGGATCGCGCGCGCACCTCCCGCCCTCCCCGCGCCCCCGCAGCACTCACACGGCAGCCGCGAAGCCTCACCTGTCCCCCCCCCCGCGCCGGGCAATAACTGCGGGACGCGCCGGGCCGCCCCCGACAGGGAGCGCGGGTGGCCACGCCCACTGCCGGGCCACGCCCACCGGACACGCCCCGCGCTGCCTCCCGCGGCGCGGCACTGAGTCAGCGCCCGCCGCCCCCGGGCCGGGGCGGGCAGGTTGTGCGAGCCGGGCGAGGTTAGCGCTGGTGTTCCGTCGGAGCCTCGCCGCGGTGTGCGAGCTTGCCCCGGAGATCTGCTGTTTGCCAGTCGGAATGGCTGCGCGAATCCTTTGTGCTCAGGGAGCAACGAGACGAGACGAGAGTCGCGGAAGGCAAAACCTGGTAGATGGAGTCGTTCCTTTCATAACAAAAAAGAGAATAAAATACAACAAAGCTACACTGCTCGGCTTTAGCTCAGTATTTCAGGCCCCCTTCCATCCTCTTAGGATTGTGGGTACCACAGATCTCTTGCGGAAAGTCGTTTTGAATGAAGATGAAGCTCCCAGTGACCCCATCTACTGACGTAAAGGACAAAAGGGGGGTGATGGGAGATTCCTAGGGTGTAAGAGGATGCTCCTTTGGTCTTTTCGTCACTTCAGCCCACAGAAAGCTGCAAATGATGCTTCTGAGGTTATTAACAAGGAGGCAGTAACTGGAGTCTGAAACCAAGGAGCAGGGAGAGGGTATGAGGGCAAAATTGAAGAGAACGTCCAAACACATTTTACAATATGCAGAAAAGGGTTTGTGGGCTGGTGGTGTGAACAGAGCAGTGTTTAAGTGCAGAGGGCCTCTGTCCTGGCATCCCCAAGGAGCTCAAACACAGAGACGGAGGTGGCAGAAGGCAGCACAGAAAACTGCATGTTGTGAGTGCGGAGATATCGGAGGAGCTGGAAAGCAGGTGGGGAGGTGGGGATGGAGAAACACAGCTCCTAAGAGATCCTATAGAAACTCAGATCGCTGAGCAGCTGATTAGGATGGAGATCAGCAGGGAGGAGGCCATGAGGTTGGGGTTTGCTTCATGCTGCCTTTGCGATTATGCTGAGTGAGGAAATCCTGGCACTTTTGGGAAGGCACCATAATGAGATTATTGGGTTTGGCCAAAAGGGTTATGTAGAAATCTGACAGTCCATTGAGCAATACCACTTGTGTCACTTAGGACGGGAAAATCACAAAACAGAATTAAACAATCCCATTCCCCCCTCCGCCCTTTAGTGTTCAGAAACTGGAAACTTTCTTTGATTTCTTTGTTTAAAACCTTTTTTGTAAGATATCAGCCAAGAAGAACTACAAGCAGACAGTGGAAACCAGCATGTCTCTGCTCAGGCAGAGCCTGGGGAGCCTCACACTTCCTAAGTCCTAACTTGTCCAAGGGATACAGCCATACAGCTCAGCAAGCCACTAATATTGTGTGTGTGTTGTAATATCCATGTGTTGTGTTTTCCCATGCCTGATAGGGCTGCTCTGGCTAAGACAAAATGAGGCACTGTGGAGCATAACAATAAAACTAAGTAGGTCACCTGGAGACTTCCAAACATGAGGCATTTCAAGTCATTAGTGGGGAAAAAAGTATTGGCGACAATTGCCAGATGCAAGCTGGCAGCTCCAGCACATCTGATGTCAGCAACAGCTGCCACTGGTTCTCCTTTGGGAGCCCCACCAAGGAAGGACACAGCCTAGCCTTCAGTGTGCTTGAGGAGCAAAGGTGATGCCAAGCATTGGGCGGATGGGACAGCAGTAATGGCCGGCATGCAGGCAGCAGGTAAATGATTAACTCCCAGCTGTATGTAGCAGGGGCAGACAGTGGGAGGAGGCAGCTTTGCCCTGCGCAGGAGGAAGCCCAGGCAATGAGGGAGGTCAGGCACACTGAAATTGTAGGAGAGGTAGCTTGCAACAGCTCAGTTTTCCTAGAGGCCAGGTCAAGCAGCCCTTTGAGCCCCCCCTGCATTCACCACTCAGGAGTGAGGAGATGTGAATGGCACTGTAGCAGCATAGGGTGTCACCGGGTGTCCTCTGCTCTGCACCATGTGGGAAACCATGCTTTCCACCGTACAGCTGGCCCACGCTTTCCTAGTTTTGCTGCCTCACCAAAAGGTCTTGGGCACTGCCCTGCTCTGGGTGAGGCTGTGCCTCGAAAGCCTTCAGAGGTGGACACTATCCAGGGTCATACCGAGCAAGAAGGCAGCAGCAGGATGCAGGCAGGAGCTACTCCCCAGGGCACCCTCAAGCACTGGGAACCTGCTGAGGTTGCATGCTGTAAGCAGACCAGGAGTCACTGGGTGAGCATTGGCAGCTATCTGCATACCAATCTCACAGAGCAGACGCTACCCAGCACTGCTTTCCCTAACATCACCCATGCTGCTCGTGAGGCTCTGCTGCCACAACTAGTGCTGTGCAGCTGCAGCAAGCGCAGGCCTTGCTGGGTGTGCCTGTGGCACTGGCAACAAAGGTACCCTCCTTGGTTTGCACTCTCAGGATCTTATTGCTGTTTGCTGAAGAAAAAGTGTGCAATACTGGTGATAACGCTGCTGAAGCAGCTGATCCTCCATGAGGTACCTATGTATTCATGGTGCATGGTGAGAGGAAAGCAGTGTCCCACATATGCACTGGGCATGGAAATGTCCCTAGTCCCTATCCCTCCATGGACATCTGCTGAGGAGTTGCACAGAGTAAGTACAGAGGTTTGTGCCAACTGCAGAGCTTTTGAGGTACTGCAACAGGGATTCATCTGGTTTATAAATTCTTCCCAAATCTATTCAGATAAGTGATTTTATAGGTAAAGTTCCCCATCTCAAGTAACAGTAATAAAATCATCAGGTCATTGTCATGGAGAGCTGTTCCGTGCAGCTGACATCGGTGCTAAGCAAGGTTGAAGGAAGCTTAAAAAATAAGGCAGAAAATGGCTGGGGCAGAAGCAGAAGCAGTGATTGTGAGTATGAAAAATGAGCTTAATAACATTTAATAAAGTTAGTGTCATGTTTTTTTATATATTTATATTTTTATACGTTTTATATACATTATATACATATATATACATACATATATATATTTATATACATTTATATACATACACATTAAAGATATGCATGTGTTAATATATATGCACATGCATTGTAAGTATACATTTGAAATATTTGTAATGTGGATATAGTATATGTACACTTATATACACATATAATATGTCCATAACATAAAATATACACTGTTTTCTTCACAAAATTAGTAGCTAAATCTTCTATAAATGAAGTTTTATTCATATCTTATTACTGACAGTGATGGCAACAAATGTTTTATTCCATAGGAGCTAACATAGAGTAAATTAAAGGAATGTCTGGGTAACCTGGAGGATATCAGGGTCTGTGTTTGGTGGCAATACTGCGCCATAACTACAGCTCCAGCCCTGTGCTGGGAGAGTAAACACATCAGTAAAAATAACTTTGTTTTGGAGAGCAGTGCTCCATGACTACTGGCAGAGTCTAACAGATACTATAAAAACAAAAGAACAAACAAAAACCCGTCAACAAAAGGGGAATGTGCAGCAACATCACTTTGGAATCACAAACTCATAGAACCTTAATGTTGGAAAAGACCACTAAGATCATCGAGTCCAACCATCCTCCCAACACTGTCACGCCCAGTACCATGTCTCTCAGTGCTACACCTACATATTTCTGAAGCACCTCAAGGGACTGTGACTCCACCATTTCCTTGTGCAGCCTGTTCCAATACCTCAACACTCTTTCTGAGAAGAAATTGATATACAACCTGAACCTGCCCTTGTGCTCCAGGCAGCTTCTCACTGTAGAAATATGCCAGAAGAGTGCTAGGAAGATCAGTAATGAAGTGCTTGCTAGCATGGACTGTGCCCCAAATTAGAACAATCAGAGAGGATTTTTACCTAATTTAAAGTTTGTCTTATGCTCTTAAAAGCAAGCGAGTTAATTAGGCAACCTGTATATAAAAAAGGCCAGCCTAGAGAAGCTCTTGGTGCTCGTGAAGATCTAGCTGTGCACATGGCTGTGGCGTGCCATGCTGTACACAACTCCTGTCTGCAAGCACAAGAGCAAAATCATTGCCAGGAGTGGATTTGGATTTGGGTAATTGCTGATTTGCATTTTATCTGTAAATGAAAGGGACAGCTTCCTCACCCATGTTTAAGTATCACATGGTCATAGAATCATAGAATCACAAGATTGGCAAGGATCTACAAGAGTCCAACCATCCTCCCTTTACCATTGCTACCATAAGCTACTGAACTGTATCTTATAGCTCTTCATCCAGACACCTTTGAACACTGCCAGGGATGGTGCCTCCACCACCTCCCTGGGCAGCCATTCCAGTGCCTGACCACCCTCTGAGAGAAAAAGTTCTTCCTTATGTCCAACCTAAACCTCTTTTGGCACAACTTGTGGCCATTTCCCCAGGTCCTGTTTGTTGCCTGGGAGAAGAGGCCAAAACCCTCCTCATCACAGCCTCGCTTTAGGAAGTTGTAGAGTGCAGTGAGGTCTCCCCTGAGCCTCCTCTTCTCCAGACTGAACAATCCCAGCTCCCTCAGCCACTCCTCATAAAACTTGTGCTCCAGACCCCTCACCAGTTTCATTGCCTTTTTCTGGACACGCTCCAGGGCCTCAATGTCATTCTTGTAGTGAAAACTACTCACCAGTGCTGAGTACAGGGGGATGATCACCTCCCTGCTCCTGCTGGCTACACTATTTCTAATGCAGACCAGGATTGGCCCTCTTGGCCACCTGGGCACACTGCTGGTTCACATTCAGCCGAGCATCAACCAACACCCCCAGGTCCCTTTCCTCTTCACAGTCATCCAGCCACTCATCCCCAAGCCTATAGCACTGCATGGGGTTGTTGTGCCCAAAGTGCAGGACCCGGCACTTGGCCATGCTGAAGCTCGTCCCATTCACCTCAGCTTATCCAGATCCCTCTGAAGGGCCTCCTCATCCTCAGGCAGATCGATACCACAACCCAACTTGGTGTCATCTGCAAACTTACTGAAGGTACACTCAGTCCCCTCATCTAGGTCATCAACAAAAATATTGAACAAGATGGGCCCCAGTGCTGGCCTCTGGACA